ATCATATGGGGTACTGAATTTTATATACTTGTAATTCATTTATATATATATATATATATATAATTTATTGGAATGTTTTCTTTCAGATAGCAATTTCTATCACTTAAGAAATTTAATTCAATTGAGAGAAAACTCTAAATAATATAACTGAACATGTTTATTCCTTCCTTGAAAAGAATCTCTTGAATATGAGAAATCTCAAATGTAATTCCATGTCAAATACTCATAACGCTAAAACAAAATCGTTTTAAAAATCCAGCGTGTTTATGCGTGTGAATAAACTAACATTGAAGCAAGATTTACGCACGCCCAAACACACCTACACACACAGACACACAAAAATGCACATACAAACACATACAACCATAACACACAGGTACACAAATACATACGTGTTTAAACCAATAAGTCTTTTAACTAGAAGACATTTATTGAATTTGTAACTTGAAACTTTCGCTCTATAATGTTTTATGTTATAAGTGTGTGGCGTTATGTTATGAAATCAAATATTTTACAAGCCAGTGATTGTATTTTTTGAGTTTTGCTTAGTTAAGAAACTGACTTATTAGTCAAAAACACAAAAGGTGGCCGACTATTAACAAAAAACATAACAAATTCCACATTACAGCCACAAGACGCCAAAAGAACAAATAATAGATCATTTTAGTTTAGACCTAAAGGGCATCCATTGTAGACGCGAAATTTTAGGAAACACCTGCAAATAAAGCTAAATAGAATTTTCAAGAAATTGAATATTATTATTATTATTATTATTATTATTTTATTGCAATTTGTTATAACGAAAAATGGTAAAAAAAAAGACCTTAAAACAGTAGGTCCGTGTGCCATTTGATGAGATGAAAAGGTGAGATAATTTGGTGAAACAAAGATGAAACATTTCTTCCATCCAATATAAGTGTGACACTATTGTGACACTTGTAGTATGATTTTAGGTTTAAAAAGATTTCCCCGTTTAGAATTGGAGAATTGCTAGGGTTAAAAACGTTAAAATCGTTAAAGAGAATACATGAATTGAAATATGAAGCGAAGGAAAAAAAGATTTTCCCTCTTTTCTTTCTGATAACCAGATCGGTGATGTATGCAATCTTACATTTGACAAATGTAAAATGTAAGCCGAAAAACATTTGCCAGGCTGGGAATTTGAACAGAGAATTATTTGGAACGTATCTTGAAAAGTCGTCAAACAAGGAAAAATCTTTGCCGTTTGAAATAAATTTCAAAAACGCAAAAATTTGTTATCGGGAAAAATTATAGTTTTGGATAGTTGATCGCTTTTTATTTGAAGGTCAATGTCGGCCGGGAAGTGAATGTGAGTAAAGCCAAAATGTAAACAATAGGGTTTTAAATCTGTCATTTTGAGAGTCGAAAAACAAAATGAAATTTTGTCAAAGGACATGGAGATAATTTTTAAAACACAAAAATTTGTTAACGAAAAAATATTGTTTAGATAAACGGCCGATTGTCAAAAGGAATGTTAAAACAAAGTTTATTGTCAAAGAGATTGCTGTTTTGGAATAGCTGACTGATTTGTTTGAGGTTGGTTGTTATGTCTCCAGAGTTGGAGAAAATAATTGATGAATAATTAATGAGTTTTGAGGTGCGTTAGGAGTTGATACATATAAACCGAAGTCGAGGGCATCAGTTGAAGCGGGAGACTTAGGCGAGACGTAGGCGAGACGTAGCAGCGGTGGAGTGGGATCTGCTGAACCTCACCTAACCTATTGCCGACAGGTTTTAGAAGCAAGAGACAGTGTCACTGTAGAGGGTTTAACGAGAATGCTTCATTTTGTTGTATCATCGACTATATAAACTAGTTGAAAATTGGGTACCTCGAGGCGGTGTAATGGTTAGCAAGCTTGGCTCGCTAGAACAATTACGACTGAGTAGTGAGTTCGATCCTCACTGGGGGCCCCCTAATTTCGCTTGGAAAATCACTAAACCAGTTGAAAATTAATGACCCAAGAACACAACGTGGGGTAGGGTAGGTGAAGAACGAAGTAGTCAAGAGATGAGCATCTGTTGACCGGCGGCAATAATGACCAGCATGGGAACAACCCAGGGTCGAGCCGGGTCAGCCGTGTTATAAAAGGCTCAAGAATTAAAAATTAACAAGCCATTTCTTGCTCCAGTTAACAACAGATTGTTGGTCATTTTTTTACATCAGCTGCCAATTTGACCATATGGAACAAATCAGACTTACCATTAAGACTGGAGTAAATAGTTGTGACATCAGTATAGATACCGAAATGAGAACTGATGACATGGGTGAAGTTGTTGATGGAAAATAGGAACAAGGAGAGAACCTTGAGGAAACCTGCATGAATGCAAAAAGATCAGTTAAGATCAGAACCTATAGGAGCCATACCTTGAGACATATATCAAATCATTGCATTCTAACGTTTGTTTTGGTGTCGATTTCTGGTGTGTTCTAGATCCAAACCACAAATCGTTCAATTGCGAGTCAGACATTGTTGACGTCTTTACCCACAAATGAATGCCTTAAGGTGGAGCATGAATAGTTGCACTTTCGCTATATTATGATCTCTAAATTTCGGAAAGGAATAAATGTCGAAACTAGGACAAAAAAAAAAAATTCAGAAGATTTATTCGAGCGGTCAAGATGTGGTTTCGGATTTTTATTTGTTAATGTCTATAAAAATTTAATCGACAAAAAATTGACTCTATACAGTCAGTTCAAAACTACCTCACAAAATTCTTCCAGCAAAAAAACACGAAATTTCTACGAAAATGGTATCAGCATTCTTGAAGAATGATAAGAGACAGTTGTTAAAAATAATTGAGTCTATGTGCTTGACATAAGTACATATGTTTTTGGTAGGTAAAATTTTGTTTTTATTTTTCTAATCAGGCACGAACATTTGTAATGATCTAATATATATATATATATATATATATATATATATATATATATATATATATATATATATATATTCATGTTCGTACAAATAGTTCTGGTCATAAAAGAAAAAGTATACTTTCCATCTCATTCTTCTGATAAGGTTTTCCGTTTGTAGAGTTAGAAAAATGATGAACACAATAATTTTTTGTCTTAGAAAAAAACAAGACCCCGATGATGACATTGTGCTAATGTCGAAAGTACTTGGAATCAAATGAACATGGTCATTTTCTTTCTTCCTTTAATAAGCATACTAAAAAACTTTTCCGTAATTCCGAGAGGAACCTATTAAAAATAGGTAGACAAATCTTGTCTAAATTATTTAATGAGACATTTCTTATTATATATATATATATATATATATATATATATATATATATATATATATGTTTCATTAAATAATATAGAAGTCTCGTATACACGGGTTTGTCGTTCCTTTGAAATTTTTCATGCAGCAACAGCGGACTATCATTGTTGTTTCGTCCGTGTGTCGTTTGATATATTGAAATTGTCATCTTTGATAATGGCTTATGCAAGCCGAAAGCTTAGATCGGATTTAAGCATGTATCAATATGGTGCTTTCCTTTCGCCTTTCAATGATAATGTGATTAAGCTTATCAGACAATATGAAGGAACTTACTTAAAATAAATAGATAAAACTTGTCTACATTATTTAATGAAACATGCATTAATGAAAAATTGCTGCCTCAATATACACAATATATATATATATATATATATATATATATATATATATATATATATATATATATATATATGAGAGATGGTTGGTAGGACTTAATATAAACTGATCCAAAATCTTCAGGTGATAATCGGTATTAGTTTTACTCAAAACTGAGAACATGTCCGATGTATGAAAATTGTCCAACATTCCTTTGCGAATATTTTTTCTTTTTTAAAAGTAGAAGTGTTTTAAAAGGCGCTTTTAGCCAAAGCAGTGGCATCTCTATGAACATAAAAAGTATCTGTTCACTGTTATCAAATACATTAAAACAATTATACCGTGTGCTTACTGTAGTTTTTATACATGCAAACATGTGTCAATTGTTGACTTCGTCCGCCCAATTTGTCATGTGGGAGGAATTTCTGGCTTTGATAATCAACATACGAAATTTGCGATTTTATCGGAGATTGATAGATATAAAATAATAAATAGGATGTAAAAAAGGAAAATTAGCCAGAGGCAGAAGGAAAGAACGAACGAACGAAAAACGAAGGAAGGAAGGAAGGAAGGAAGGAAGGAAGGAAGGAAGGAAGGAAAAAGAAAGGAAAAAGAGGAAGGAAAATGAATGAAAACGAAGGAAGGAAGGAAGGAAGGATAAAAGTAGGAAGGAAAGAAGGAAGGAAAAAGAAGGAAGGAAAAAAGAAAGCAAAAAAGAAGAAAAAGGCAAAACGAAATAAGAAGCAATGAAAGAAGTGAAAAGATTTTTAAAAAGGAAATAATACGAAAGGTAAAAAAATAGAATGTTAAAAAATTATTTAAAAAAATGACTTTCATAAAGTTTTAGAAAACCTTTGCACAGAATTTAATTAATTACGACGCTAAAATTAATTCAGTCACATATTAGTAGCTAATTCGTGTCCTGTGTGTTGAAACTATATTATCATGAATACTCCTAATATTATTGGTTATAGTAGTAGTAGTAGTATCCAAGAACGATCGTAAAGAATCAATAAAGATGAAAGTGCGCCATTTTTAGCATGCGATCAGGTCATGTGACATCTTGATTAATTTCTCGTCTGCATAATGGAAAAGTTCGCTGCGCAGGAATCAAGTAATTATCAACTGCATTGTTTTAGAGCTTACCCATTGTCGTTTTAATAATCGTACCTTCATTTTAGTATTTTTGATTTTTTTTTTCTCTTCTGGGTGTTTTCGTGGCTCGAAAATCCCCGAGAAAGAGGCAGGTGGTATCCATCATAGATTTTAAATAATTCTGGCTAATGTTATTAATTTCTTTTTCTTTTTTTTTTTTTAAACGGCAACAAAACTGGTGAAGGGCTTGCAGATTATTTAACGAAAGATTGAAGAAAGGTGGAAATGTATTTTCTTCTCTTTCTTTTCCTCGCATCTTTTGGTTTTCGAAAATAAAGCATTCATATTCTTGGTTTTATTTTGTATTCGCTTAGTCTTTGAAAAAATAAAAAATAAAATAATGATCGTTGTGCTTCAGAAATATGTGGACTTGTATATGAGGGTATGCTTCCATTTCAAACAGCTTCTTAGACATTTTCTTTACCAATCTGCGGCCTTTCGAGTTATGCCTCTACCTCGATCATTCGCTTGCTTCGCTTTTATTTAGTCAGTTAATTTTTTTTTTATTTATACAATAATCAGTCGATTCCCGAATCGACTGATTAGACAAATTGAAGATAAATTATGAGTCTCTTGTTAAAATTCAACTTAAGACTGGCCTTGGAACTAAATTTTGTTTAAGTATTTTTAATCATTCACCGTTTTTTTTAATCATTCACCGTCTTCTTCCTTTCTTTAGTGTTCCTTTAGATTTGCTACATTTACTTCGTTTCTTTCTTTCTTTTATAAGCTGCATTTTTTGTTTTTTTTAACTTTCCTTTGTTTTAGATAATTCCCGTTTTCTTTCTTTTTACTCTTTATTCTTTATTCACTTTTATTTTTGTCTGAAGTCATTTTTTTTATTTTTTCCGTAGATTTTTTTCTTACTTTCTTTCTTCGTCATTCGTTCATTTATTTCTCTTTCAATTTTTCTCATTTCTTTTTACATCGTTCACATATTTTTTTTATATCATTCTTTTCTCTTTCTCTCTCTCTCCTTTCAATTTTTTCTTCCTTTACGCTTTTCTTGCGTAGGTTTTCAGATTACAGCTCCCACACATATTTCCTTTCTTCTTTCTTTCATTCCATCCATCCTTCCACCTATCCTTTCTTTCTCCTTTCTGTAAACCCATCCCTCCCGCACCTATCCTTTCGTTGTTTATTCTTTCCTTCCACCTACTCTTCCAGTTTCATTCTTTCCTTCCATTCTTTCCTTCCACCTAACCTTCCTTTCTTCTTTCTTTCCGTTCTTCCATCCTTCCTTCCGCCTATCCTTCCTTTTTTCTTCCTTTCCTTCCATCCTTTCTTCCACCTATCCTTTCTATATTCTTCCTTTCCTTCCATTCCTCCTTCCACCTATCCTTCCTTTCTTCTTTCCTTCTATCCTTCTTTCCTTCCAACTATCCTTCCTTTCTTTCTTTCCTTCCATCCTTCCTTCCAGCTATCCTTCCTATATTCTTTTTCCTTCCATTCCTCCTTCCACCTATCAAACCTTTCTTCTTTCCATCCTTCCTTACTTTCACCTATCCTTCCTTCCTTCCTTCCTTCCTTCCTTCCTTCCACCTATCCTTCCTTTATTCTTTCTTCCCTTCCTTCCATTTCTCTTTCCAACATTCCTTCCTTTCCTCCATCCTTCCTTCCACCTATCCATCCTTTCTTCTTTCCGTCCTTCCTTCCACATATCCTTCCTTTCTTCTTTCTTTCCTTCCTTTTCTTCTTCCTTTCTTCTTTCCTTCCATCCTTCCTTCCACCTATCCTTCCTTTCTTCTTTTCAGCTATCCTTCCCATATTCTTTCTTTCCTTCCATTCCTTCTTCCAACTATCCATCCTTTCTTCTTTCCTTCTATCCTTCCTTCTGCCTATCCTTCATTTCTTCTTTCTTTCCTTCCATCCTTCCTCCCACCTATCCTTCCTTTTTTTTCCTTTCCTTCCATCCTTCCTTGCATCTATCCTTCCTATATTCTTTCCTTCCGTTCCTCCTTCCACCTATCCTTCTTTTCTTCTTTCCTTCCATCCTTCCTTCCACCTATACGTCCTTTCTTCTTTCCAGCCTTCCTTCTTTCCAGCATTCCTTCTTTCCAGCCTTCCTTCTTTCCAGCCTTCCTTACTTCCACCTAGCCTTCATTTTATCTTTCTTGCCTTCCATCCTACCTTCCACCTATCCTTCCTATATTCTTTCTTTCCTTCCATTCCTCCTTTCACCTATCCATCCTTTCTTCTTTCCTTCCGACCTTTCTTTCACCTATCCTTCCTTTCTTGTATCTTTCCTTCCATCCTTCCTTCCACCTATCCTTCCTTTCTTGTTTATTTCCATCCATCCTTTTCTCCACCTATCCTTCCTTTATTCTTTCTTTCCTTCCATTCCTCCTTCCACCTATCCTCCTTTCCTTCCATCCTTCCTTCCACCTATCCTTTCTTATTCTTTCTTTTCCTTTCATTCTTCCCTCCACCTATCCTTCCTATCTTCTTTCTTTCCTTCCATCTATCCTTACAGCTATCCTTCCTATATTCTATCTTTCCTTCCATTGCTCTTTCCACCTATCCATCCTTTCTTCTTTCCATCCTTCCTTCCTTCCACCTATCCTTCATTTCTTCTTTCTTTCCTTCCATCCTTCCTTGCACCTATCCTTCCCATATTCTTTCTTTCCTTCCATCCTTCCTTCCACTTATTCTTCCTTTCTTCTTTCCATCCTTCCTTCCTTCCACCTATCTTTCCTTTATTCTTTCTTTCCTTTCATCTGTCCTTACTTATTTCTTTTCTTTCTTTTATCTTGCTATTTTGTCATTTCTTTTTACTTATATTTTTGTCTTTATGCCTTTTCATATATCCAAATTCTTTTCTTGTTTGCTCTTTTTATATTGTTTTGTTTTTATTATTGTTCACTTCCTCTCCATTTTTAATATGGTTTCTTGCTTTTTCCTATTCTTTCTTTTTTGTTTTTCATATATTCTTTTCTTCTCTTTCTTATTACTTTTTCTGTTTTCTTACCTTTTCTTATGATTTTGCTTTCCTTACATTCATTTTAGCGTCCTTCCTGACTTCATTCCTACCTTCATTTTTCTTTCTTTCCTTTTCCTGCTATTTTATTTGTCTTGCTGTCATCTTATATATCAAATTCCTTTCTTTCTTTTCTTCTTTTTACTTCTTTTTCGTTTTTCTTCCCCTTCTCTTTATTTGTTACAAAATGTTTAAAAGTGTTCTTGCTCTTTTCTTCTTCCTATCTCCCTCCCTCCCTCCCTTTTTCTTTCTTTTGATTATCTTTTCTTTTTTCTTTTCATTTTTTTCACTTGTCTCTTTTTTTTTGTTTTCTTTTTTGATTTCCTTTTTTCCACACTTTTTATCTTTTTCCTGATTTTTCACACATTTTAATTTTCTGCTATCTTTCTTTCTTTCTTGCTTTTATCTCCTCTCTGCTTTTTATACTTTTGTATCCTTAAAAAGAACAGAAATTTAAAATTTTTAAAGCAATCATTTTTATTTTCGTTTTGTATCGGGACAGAATTAAGCAATATCGTTCAGATCTGTGGCAAACTTTGAAAATCGTGGCACAGAAGAAACAGAAACTATAAACTTTGGACAATTTCATCTCACAAGAAATATTTGATTATTTTGATATTGACTATGACTATTCGCTTATAAACAACAGAAAAGTATCAGCTGCTGGTTTATCTTGTACTTCAAAATTGATATATATTTAAAAAAAAAACTGCTTGGAGGTCTTGAAAACTTTCAAATCATTTAATAAGAGTACCTCTCAAAAGTCAATCGATCACCCAGCTTTCAGACTACTTATTATTTGACGAATTTTAATCCTTGCTGCTACACTAATTCGTCCATAGACTAGATGTAACAGAGAGTATATCAATTAATTGAGTTGGTTGATTTCATAATATTGCTAAAATTGTTGGGTTATTTAATATCGAAATTATTAGAGAGGATTTGAATTTATAGGCAAATATTAATCATGTGTATACTTGTCTAGTTAAGGGGTTGGCAATCCCCAGAGACCGGGCCTGCGAACGATTTTTGACCAGACTGCCACCTTAAAACCTGGACACTAATTATGTAATTAATTTTTGGATCAATTTGCAGAAAAAATATCATTTGGAGTTAATTGTCTTACAATGCGACAAATTTTTTAAATCAAAATTTTATTCTAGAATCTACTGCTGACTTCTACAAGAAAAATGTTTTGACAAGCAGAAAATATAAAAGCCTATCAAATAATGCAAAAATGATGGTATCATTATTTGGAAGTACATATGCTTGTGAACAACATTTTTCGAAAATGAAATCTACTAAAAGTCGTTTAAGAAGAGGGTTGTGTTATGAGCACCTGGATGATGTTTTCCTTCAGTCATCGACAAATATTTCACCTGATGTGAAGAAGTTATCAAACAATAAACAGAGACAAGTGTTTCATTGAATAATTTGCCATTTCTAACTGTATTTCATTTGTAGTAAGGAATTTGCATTTTTGTTGATTGCGTTAATTGTTATCCTGTAGTAAAGTAAGTAACCTTTAAATAGTATTAATTTAATATTTATTTAACCTTTAAATAATATAGCATTAACTTCGTTGATTTTTCTTTAAATTTGAAGAGCAAGGCAGCCTTCGAGACAAAGTAGTCTGAGATCGAGACAAATTTGTTATCATGGTTCTCCTCCAAAAGGTTGCCGACCTTTGCTGTAGATAAACATTGAATATATCTATTATTAAATATCGGTTAAGTTTATACTTGAGACAAAACATTAGTAATACACTTACCTGACACTTAAAGTAAACATTGGTTGATTTTATAACTTGAACTATAATTAAATATAGGTTGGGTTTATACTTCAGTCAATAGGTAAACTTTGATAATATTTTTGCTTGAGACTATTGTTTGTATTTATACTTGAGACAATATGTAAATAGTGGTCGTCCATACCTGAGTTTGCAAGTATCCACGATTTTTCGAATGATTTTGCCCCACGTTAGAGAATGTAGTAGGCATAATCTCGGCCCGGATTATATAATCTTGATATATATTTATAATTTATCTGTTTTATGTACAATATCCTGCATCCATGACATGTACAATAGTCATTCTCCACGGCTTCCTCTACCTATTATTTCTTTCCTTCCATCCTTCCTTCCACCTATAAGTTATTTCTTCTTTATTTTCTTCCATCTTTCCTTCCACCTATCATTCCTTTCTTCTTTCTTTCCTTCCTTTCACCTATATTTTCTCTCTTCTTTATTTTCTTCCATCCCTCCTTCCACATATCCTTCCTTTCTTCTTTCTTTTCTTCCATCCTTCCTTCCACCTATCAGTACTTTCTCCTTTATTTCCTTCCTTCCACCTATCAGTCATTTCTTCTTTCTTATCTTCCAGATTTCCCTCCCCCTTTCATTACTTTCTTCTTTCTTTCCTTCCATCCTTCCTTCTAGCTATCCTTCCTTTCTTCTTTCTTCCCTTCCACCCTTCCTCCACGTCATTCCTTTCTTCTTTCTTTCCTTCCATCCTTCCTCCACGTCATTCCTTTCTTCTTTCTTTCCTTCCATCCTTCCTTCTTTCCCACTGTCATTCCTTTCTTCTTTCTTTCCTTCCATCTTTCCTTCCACCTATCCTTCCGTTCTTCTTCCTTTCCTTCCATCCTAGCATCCACCTATCATTCTTTTCTACTTTTTTCCTCCATCCTTACTTCCACATCATTCCCTCCTTTTTTCTTTCCTTCCATCCTTCCTTCTACCTATCCTTTCTTCTTCCTTTCCATCCATCCTTCCTTCGACCTAGCCTTCCTTTCTTCTTTCTCTCCTTCCATCCTTCCTTCCTCCTATTCTTCTTTTCTTCTTTCTTTACTTTTATCCTTCCTTCCACATATCAGTTATTTCTTTTTTCTTTCCTTCCATCATTACTTCGTCATATCATTCCTTTCTACATTCTTTCCTTCCATCATTCCTTCCACGTAACCTTCCTGTTCTTTGTCGCTCTGAGCAACGTTTTTCCTTTTATCACTCCTCCCACTTCCTCTTCTGTTATCCGTTCATATAAACATGTTAGGAAGTTTTATCGCCTTTTCTCTCTGACGCTTCTTCTTTCAATGTATTCTGTGAGCGTTAAGTCCCCCAAGATCTCCTTCTTCAAAATGCCTTCCCAAATTTATATATATATTACGACACAAACTATACCGTGGTTGAATAAGACTGAAGAAATTCGTCAGGTGAAATAAATATATAAATATATAATTCTGGATTTTATTGTGTACTAATTATTTGCTCTATCTGTGCGTTTGTTATTGAAATCCTCCTAGGGTTTTGGAGATTCTCATTATCATACAAATTCTGAAACTACATTACCCATGGTACTTGGGTATATATATTTGATTTTGATCAAAGTTGGGCCCCGGAGAGGGTGGCGAAACCACCCACTGGAATTTTTTTCCCGTTGGTTTAAATTAAATTTGATTTTGAACAAGGGAATGACTCCTATCCAAAATATAGGAGGAGAAAGTCAGAAGATGGAGGTCACATCGGCAAGATCATTTTGTTCAAAGGGGTCCCCGGGAGGTCCAACCCAAACCCACCCATTGAAGTTTTTCCATTTGATTTAAATTGAATTTTAACCAACAAGGGAATGACGCCTATCCAAAATACAGGAAGAAACACAAAAGATGAAGGTCACATTGACAAGATCAAAATGAGACAATATGGACGTCAAGTTGTGCAAGAAATCACCAATCACAGGGTAGTGCCTTACAGTACATATCTGTCGCTACAATTCAACTGGCATATCCATGTTGAAATCTTCTCATTAATTAATTCAATCAATACATATCAAATACATATCAAAGGGGTCAGAGCCAACTGTTTTTGTAAAAAGCTCCCCACTGAACTTTTTTTTGCTTGATTTAAATTAAATTTCAATTTTAAAAGGCAATGTCTCTTATCCAAATCATAGAAGGAGAAAGTCAGAAGATGGAGGTCACAACGGCAAGATCATTGAGTAATATTTAAATGCATCATTTTTCTCCACAAATTATAACAATAATTTAAAATCAATCACAATTTTCTTACAAAAAATGTGACAAGCAGCAATGCGCGGGTAATTCGGCTTGCATATATATATATATATATAATTTATATCGTTTTCCCATATATATATATATATATATATATATATGAAAACGATATAAATTTTTTCATATATCAAGAACAATTTTAGGGAAATCTATGACAAAGTGAAAAAAGTTTTCGTATGACGCATTTTATCCTTTAGGACTTCAGAGGGTTAAAGTGTTACGGTGATGTGACTATATATGCGCATGAAGGAGTGGTGTCGTTGAAAGTGTTTTATTTTTTTAATATATTTTTTGAGTATATAAATCTAGCTGATTTCGTTCACTTTCTTTTTGTTTATATTTGTATCACTTTTGTTATTAAATATCAGCCATAGAAGATCTACCAAGAAACATGGAACATAACGTCGTTAATATACGAGCTGGTATCAAAAGATTTGTCTTGTTTAAAACAAGTTTTAACGTCATCTCCTTCGAAATAGTCACCTTGGGTAGCAATACACCTGTTCCAGCTGAGTACACGAAGACACCTAATGAAGAAGCTTTGGACTCTTAGAACTGCAAGGAGAAACGTTGCGCCAATACGTACTGGATCCAGCTCAGTGAAGATATGCTGAATATCACGAGGAACATCAGAGGAAGGGATGATGGTATCAAAAGGGCACATAAATATTTACCCATAGCTGAATCAGGGTGGACCTGGGACCAACATCAATTAAAAGCTGATCTCACGCTCCTCAAAAACTCCAATCTCCCGATCAGAAACCTTTCTGCCGGTTGTAGTTTATCGTCATACCCAGAACGAACCAGTATTATTATTTTTGGATAATCAATACAATACATTTTGTATGTTTACTTTTTCACCCCCCTGTATTATGCATACATAATTTTTAAATGTTTTTACTGTCGGGAAGCTTTTTTAAAGAAGGGCATCTGGAATACTTATAGATAACAAGTTAAATGAACAAAAAAATGCGTCATTTTTTTAATCATTTTTGGTGGATCGGTTGAAAGAACAGAGGTATAATAAGTAAGTGAAAGCATTAAAGTTGATAAAAGTGTAAAACAAAAATACATCTGCTTCTATCGCTCTTCAGTAGAAACCCATAAAGCATCGAAACGAGGCCATCTGCAGCGAGAAGCATAAGAGCGTCAAACGAAACAAAGACGTGCCTTCTAAACGCATTTAACTTTCACTTCTCATTTTTTTTCTTCTACGTGCCGTGTCCCTACAGGACGTGGGTGATCCTGCTTCTCCACAATCCACTGTCCTGCTATCCAGTTACCCAAGCTCGCTAGCTAGTTTATACTTTGTTTTCTTCTGTCCGTTTTGTCCTGTGAGTATCAAATATTCCAAGCCCTCTTTCCTCATTATATGCCTTAGAAATTTCAACGGTCTCTTTCTGAAGATTGGTATGTGACGTTGCTCACGTGTCCAGTCCATATTATATTCTCAGCATCCTTCTGTAGAAACCCATTTCTGCTAGCTCGTTTCTTCTTCATCTGTGAGGAGATTGTTCAGCATTCATTGCTATGACCAATATTAAATAAAAGTTCAGTACTCTTTACTTTGTTTCTAACGGAATTTTCCTGTTTCATATTACTTTGCTTGCTATTTGGAAGGCATCTTCCGCCATCCCAACTGGTCTTCGGATTTCGGATCTCGCATTATCCATCCTCTGTTAAAACATTTCCTAGATATTTAAATGTTTGTATTTGTTTAATTTTCGTGTTTCCAATTTGTAGTCCGCATGTCGGGTTGTGTCATTGCAGACAATCATACATTCTATCATTTTACTATTGGTGATTAGTCCTTTCTTTTCTCTTTCCTTTACTACTTTGTCTAAAGTACAAATCTGAAATATTTTTTAATTAAAATTACTTTAGGTTTTTTTTTTAAATAATCAATAACAACCACTTTTACTCAAGAAAAAAATTGAAATTAAATCGTCGAAAATTATTTTATGTATCTTGTCCCCTTCATGACGTAGATGATCATGTCTCTCGACAGCTTCCAATCCTTTGTACCTCTAAGCAATGCTTGTCTATTTACTATTCCTTTTATTATGTATAGCTTACTTTCGGACTAGATTGTCAATGCTACAAAACGCCAATAGATCACTTCTCCTTCCTCTTCTTTTAATTACCCATTCATCTCACCAATATTTCAAGTTCACCCTCTTCTCTGATGCTCCTTGTCCTTTCAGGTCGTAGATAATCATGACTCTTCACAACTTCCTATACTTTGTAGCTATAAGCAAAGCTTATTCTTTTTATCATGCCTGTCACCCTCTGGCTCTCCCATCCATATATATGCCCGTTAGGTAGGTCATTCGACTTTTTTTTTTCGTAGCATTCGATATGCCTTGTGAGTGTGAAATTCTTTAAGCCGTCTTTTCTTATTATGTCTCCTTATTGTAAATATTAATCTCACATTTGCTTTCATTATCCTTAAAACATCTTCCATATTATGTCCATCGAATTCTCAGCATCTTTCTGAAGATCACATCTCTGTTGCCTCAAATCTGTTTTCCAATCTGTGAGGAAACTGTCAGACATTCATACTCATATGAGCGTATTAATATTACGTCACAGTTCAGTACTTTTTTCTTTGTTTTTAATGAAATGTTACTGCTTTCCGATACTTTGTTTAGCTTTTAGAAGGCATCTTTCGCTATTTTGAAATTCAGCCTTGCATTTTTTATCGTAATAACAAATGTAATCTGAATATTATTAGATGAAAAGGTTTCAAGGAATCAATGGGTGGCTTTGTCGGTAGAAGTTGAGAATATCAGGAACAAAGTATGTGCTAAATGGGAAAGTTTATGGGGAATGGGGGCAACAAAGAAATTGTTGTTAAAAAATCAGAAAGAGCCAGTTTGAAAATTTGACAGTATATAATGGCTGGGAGAACTTAACACCCACAAGGCTCTTCAAAGCATCGGAAAGCAATAGGTGCTTTTGATAAATGACGCTACAAATACCACAAAGTCAGAGAGGTGATGTGAATGAGTATATATTGCTGAAGGCAGCAAAAGGAAGGAAGCTGTGGAGAGCCATGCTTTCATATATTCGGAAAGAATACAACAGAGAGAGAAAATGATGGAAAGAGAGATTTGTAATCATTCTATTTTGGTTCATTCAGGATAATTTTTCGTCTTTGTTGACTTTTATCAAAACTTTCGATATTTCAAAATACAGTCGTGGCCTGAAGAATGCCAAAGATGGAACAAACCGAAACGTTGTTAGAAAAACTAGAAATAAGATAAAATTAATTTGAATGAACTAAAATAAGACGATTTCTAATAAATATTAGGTAGGCTTTCCTACCGCCCGGTCAATACTCCTCCCGCTTCTCTTGGACAAGAGTAGAGGTCCACACCTTGTTTCTTGTTTAGGAAGGGGTTCCCGGTACACACACACACACACACACTCTCTCTCTCTCTCTCTCTCTCTCTCTCTCTCTCTCTCTGGCTTCTGTACTAGTGCGGCTCTGGTTCTTCCGTGATGTGTGCAGTCTGTGGCATTACCTCTTCATTCGGTTGACAGTTCTCTGCTTGCTGTTTCCGACTGGTAGTTAGGG